CTATTGATTTTTTTTTCCATCAGGTTATTTTCATTATACTTAAGAGAGAACATATTTTTTTTTTTATTTTGTGTTTTCTGTATATCAATTAATTATTGACTAGTCATTGTAAGGTTACACTAAAAAGGTGTGCCGATGATACAAAAGCGTTATTTAATCAATTGACTGACTATTGATGCATCGCAATACCGTATTGATGAAGTCTAAATACACATTGTAGAAACGTTTTGAAAGTTTAAATCCGGTTTTATATAAGAAATACAGGAAAGAAAACAGGATATCTTTATAACATGTTTCCTCTTTTGGAATTTCGATATCACACCTTTTTCCTAGTCGTTCTATATACCCATATTTCATCCACAAAAAACACTCTATTATTTCTGTACTTCTACAGTACTTCGGAGGTCAATGCCCATTAGTGATTCTCTTCTACGATACGCATATACTGACAGGTCCACTGATTAATCTCAGATAAGAAAGTATAATACATACTACAAGTATTGAAATACACGCCATCGTGTTGGGATTCAATATTTCGACATTAATTATGTCATCATACGCCTACTTTTATTTCAAATTGTGTGTTACGGTTGATGGAAGCAAATACGCCTATATCATTAAATATATTTCATTTAATTAATGTTATTTAATTTGTTTATCAGAAAATTAGGTTAATTTATGTTTTATAAAGTATGCATATTATATATATATAGGTTTAGCCCAACTAGCATTCAATTAAATACATTAGAAACACTGTTTTGGCTCGACGTCGTAATAATTATGTACGAAAGTGTATTCTTCAGGCCTATCAGTTCATCGATCTATGGAAGAAAGAATCCAACTACTCAATAATGTTGGAATATAGAATACATGCCAAGTTGGAGATAGCTAGAGGCTTGAGATTTAACAGGAAATAACCCAATTGACGTGAGTCGAGGGTCCGGCCAAAGGCCCCGAAAAATGTTGGGCCTAGATGCTCTCTGGGTACTCTGAATATCTCTAGTGCTGAAATTAAACCTTAAAAATGAGTAGCTATAACAGGAACGATAGAATTTTCGATGATCTGGGCCTGATAAAATATAGAATTGCGAAGGTTTATATTATTCGATAAAAAGTTTGGGTTTAATCAAATAAAGCTTGAGATTAGTGGAAAAGCGTAAGATTTTAGAGGAGTGGCTTAAACTTCAGGTTTGTTCGAAAAACGTGAGGTTCACGCCGGATGCGTGAGACTTGGTATGATATAGGCCTAATAATATATTGACTATATTTTTGATTTATTTTCTTTGGTATAAGCCTAAGAATGAGATAAAATCAGCTGACCTTTTTTAAGAGGGGTAAAACCTTGAATTTTGAAGAAATTAAAGGTCATTAAAAGACACCTCAGAAGTCGGGAAAGCTCATATTTCCGGCCATCTAGGAATCAAAATTTTCCCATGGGGGACCCCGGACCCCCTTTCATTTTTTGGGTTTATGGGAAAATGAACCCCCCTATTTCAAATCCTGGATCCGTCCCTGGCCTTAAACACTGATCATTTATTGTCATTACACCTAAACAACATCATACATATTTACAGCGATATAGACCAATATATAAAGTCACATGACACAAAAGGTCAAACAATCAAACTTACCAAAAGTTGTCGTGTTTAGTATCATTTGAAATCTCTGCCAATGGTGAGTTACGGTATGTTTTCCGGTATATACATATCAGAAACTGTGTAGTTTTTCATATATTGTCCTATAAATCTAATTATCAAATAGAACAAAATCCCACAAACACACTCTGGCTGATTTATTAGAAGGGGTCAGTCCAACTACGACCCATCATTTTACTATGAAGGTTTGACCAGATATGTACACCTGTGTGCTTTCTTGGGAAATGCTTAGTTCCTCCGAGTCCAAATGAACCCAGGATAGGCCAGGGGCCCCACTCTTACTTCATGGTGGCCAAGGCAAATACAGTATGTTGTGTTTTCCTACTTATTGTTGATTCTACATACATGAACAATGGCTGTCTCTTATACACATCTAGATGTGTATAAGAGACAGTGTCTCCTCTTTTGGAATTTCGATATCACTCCTTTTTCCTAGTCGTTCTATATACCCATATTTCATCCACAAAAAAACACTCTATTTTCTGTACTTCTACAGTACTTCGGAGGTCAATGCCCATTAGTGATTCTACATATTACTGCGTAGCAACACAGGGCTACACTAAGATCTACCAAAGCGTCTATGAAATCATTATGTAATGTTACATAACTGTTATAGATAAACATAGTTCCACATGAATTAACCATTAATTTATATAGGAATTGCATCGGTATAATGAACAAGGAAGTAAATAAAAATTTAACATGTAGCATAACATATAAGGAGACGGGTAAAACCCGTACCTTTGCCAATATAAATAAGTATTATCAAACAATCATTCAATCAATCGTTTCAGGGTGGGTCCAGGAGACACGGGTCTATCCCAACCCCCAAAAATAAAGAAGAAAGAGAGAAGAAACCCCAGAAAGTAGGGAGCATGACGTCACTGTAGGCTTACTCCGAAACAACCTATTTTTTTTTAATGTCTGTTGTCTCCACCATTTCTAAACAAAATTCTTTCTCTATATCTGTCCCTTTTGGGTGGATGGATATATTCGGTGTAAACACCAAGGATAACCCACAAAAGTCGGAAGAATACTTGTTTCCAGTATGGTCCTTCTGGTGGTGATTGGGCACTACACCGGCAGTGGCCTAACGATGGACCCGGGGCACTGTGGTTTTCTGAAACTGGGGTCCCCTTTTTGATCCGGTCACCACTTTGATTGTGGGAATTTAAATTTCCTCGTTTTTCTAATATTTGGCATTGTATTTTAAATTGCTTTTAACAACGAAATAAATTATATATTAGTTGCAGATTTAGGTATTCAAAATAGAGGGAATGTAGGTAGGGAGGGACTTTCACACACACCTATGCCACCTCAGCCCCAGCATGGTTGGGGCTAAGGTAATATCATTTATGAATACGGCACCTCAAAGTGGCCGGAATTGGCACTCATAGATTTAAAATGCAAGTATAATTTCCATTTTCAAAACAATTGGAAAATTTAAGGGGGCCCCAGGCCCCCCCCCCCCCATCAAACCTTCACGGGATATACTATGATATATGTCTTACAGTCGATCTCAGAGACACATTATGCTGTTATGTATCAACAAAGCCCTTTTGTGCCCGAGCGAGGACCCTATGGGTTGGGGAACCTTCGGGGCCCTAGGTGACGAGGGCCCTGCAGACCGCCGCATAAGAGCGCATAGTCGTTACACCACTGTACATCGGGAAACAATTTCCTACTCATTTCCAATTAGTATACTGCGTTCTTTAACGTGCACACAGGTAATAATGCACACGGAACCAACAGGTAAAATGTCTCATCCGAAAGACGGTGCGCTATCGTAACTTGCATTTCAGCCCTCCAACTGAAATACAAGGAAGAGCAGTGATGGGAATTCAATACACTACCTCATTCCTAAAACCCCTTCCAATTTTCATCTTAGAAAACTTAAAAGAATTTATCCTCCAAAAGGCTGGAAAGGACTCTCTGTACAGGTGAATGCTTTGTTCATTTTTTAACTCAGTAATTAAAATAACTATAATAATCTCACTACAATAATTATAATTACAATAATAATAATAATAATAATAATAATAATAATAATAATAATAATAATAATAATAATAATTTTAATATAGGTTGCCTTTTTGCCCTTTAAACCTGTTTCCTTTTGCTGTTATTGTGATGTGGGTCTATTTGTTGAAAAAATTTTAAATGTTGATTGTTTAGATTTTTCTGCATGAACCATTTACTTATGTAAAATTCAACCCATTTTGAGTGATGAATAAAGGATGATTTGATTTTATTTGAATCGGAGACCTAGAGATCCCCACGTTTTAGCCCACGTACAGGCTACCACCAGTTTAGGCAACTGAGAAGCTACTACCTGGTTATAAATGTATAAGGTACCATTCCAATATTTAATAATAGGCTCTATTACAGTAACACTATTAAAATTCAGAGACGGACAAAAATTTACTTTCGCCATAATATATTGCACAGTAAGCCTGCGACTTCTGGATTACTTTTTCTTCAGGTCATCTAATAGGCTTGAAAATATCAATATAAAGACGTTTGAGTAACAAAATTCATTGATTGTTTTTAATAAAGTGTTACTTTAGTACCAAAAAATATGTTGCTCTGAATCTTGATAAGGCCAATCTGAATAAAATGACCCTATCGTCCTTTAAGGTCCAATAGATGATGTTGCAGGCGTTTATCATCCGAATATCTGAATTATTAGTAGGCCTTTAATGTATACATTATTTTAATCGATTTCAACATGCTGTGTATAATATTTAATAATAGGCCTACTATGATGGATAACCATGTATTTTATTCTTTATTTACTGACATGTTTAAAGTCGGAGGCGGACTTTAAGGTGGGTAGTTATGCAGCCGTCCGTGGCTCATACATTTAAAAAAAAAAATTAAAAGAAAATATTTTGTCAAAAGCGGTTGTATTATTAGATTGCTCGGTAGTAGTAAGTAGGGGCCCATCGTTTTTTAGGGACTCATTTGGACATGGAGGAAGTAAGCGTTTCCCTAGAAAGCACACAGGCATTACATAACTGGTCAAACCTCCATAGTGGGGCATCCAGGGGCATAGTTTAAAGAACCCCTTCTAATAAATCTGCCAAATATTGTGTTTGTGGGAT